CGAATAAGATGTCAAATTGAAGGCAATTTTACACACTCTCATATTAATACAAGATATTTCAGTAGATTGAGATCCTAACAGAGAAATCTCCATGATCAAGTTGAAAAAAATGGAAATTTGCAAAACGTGACATGCTAAAATCACTACAATATCGCTTATAACTTATTACCTACTGGATAAAATCGCTGATGTGGGGTACCAAATTGAAGCTCTCGATGAGACCTTTCGAATGACGTGTGAAAAAGCCACGTTGGTAGAGATTGAACACATGATTTTTGGTAAAAATATATCAGTTTTGTAGTGTGACATCACGATCAAGATAAGAATAATCCACAATAACTCCGCGAAAATTCAATGAAATTGGATTTACCATACACCATTTTGAAGATTATAAAATTCCCTACAAAATGATGTAGGAAAATCCCGGATTAGTCAACGTGGACTGATGGAAAAACACCGCCAAAGTTAAATACTCAAGAAAATGGTGAAAGGTCCATTTCCGCCTAAAATGCTCATAAGTCAGGGGGAAATGAATACAATGGGATGAATCCGGTGTCAAATTGAAGCTTATTGATTCAGCTTTCGAATGAGTATGCTCGATGCATGATTTATTGCGAGAGATGGCGGCAGTTAACGAAAAAATCAAACAAAGAACCAGCGTTACGGACACGGATTATTCTAAAGGGGATTTTCGAATTTCAAGAAACGCCAAATATGAGACATGAGATAGAAGAATGCACAGGATGATTAGGAAATTGTCACCAACAGACAACTACATCAAAAACAGACACCAACCTTCGAGAAAAATTCAGTGAATAATTTATCTTCATTATGGCCTTTGAAAAGAGAAGTGAAGTGATTTTTAGTGTAAAACTTCAATGATTGTGTGTGAATTTGAATGAATGTATGAAATATTGGAAAACAATGAAATATTTTTATTATCGTATAAAAATTTGAATATTATTTCAGATCTGATGGTTTTATTCTTGAGATTTCTAGGAGATGTGGAACATAGGAAATTTACTGAATTTAAAAGGCATTGAAAAAAAAAATTTGAACGACAATAGTTAATTTTATATCATTATGAGACTTACCGGGAATTTAACCTTATTTTTCTATTGAATGAAGATTTAGGAATGAAATGTTTTTTTTTATGGAAGAGAATTAAATAAGGAATAAACAGTACACGAATTAATTGCTTGAAAAACGTGATATTGTAATGACGAGAAAAGGAGAAAAAAATTAAGAATGACAAAACTATGAAATTGATAGAAAAAAAAAAGAAGAATAAATTGTTTCAACGATTGTTCTGATTTCATCGATAACAATCGTCTAATCAAGGGGGTGTTACGTCCGGAGACGTATCGCGTTTTCCCTTAAAAATGGAAGAATTAATTTTGAAAATAGAGTAATTATAGACGAAGAAATTCAATAATTAAGAATGATAAAATAATAAGTTCTTCGAAGGAAAAGTATTTTGCATTCCAAACGAGTCTAAAATTCAATCGATATTACCCGTAAAAGAAATATAAGAAAAGAATTTGAAAAGACAATGGTTGATACATTTTTTTTGTTAATACGAGCCAAAGGCATCTTCACCTGGGTGGTCGGTTGCACTCTAGACTCGTTACGTCACTTTTCTCATAGATGAGAAATGGGACGTTTCTAAGAATGAATTAATAATGAAAAAAATTAGGAAAAATTTATGAAACATAGGAAAAATATTATTCAGATCATTAAATTGAAAGTCAACCGAGAATTGAGTAAAGAAAAGAAACAAATATGGAATCATTTTATATAACGATCACGTGATCGCTGGGTGGAAACGCCTGGAGTTGTCTCCAAGTGCGTTATCACCAGGAGGTTCAGGTGTCCGTAACGAGGTGTATCTTGGTGCATCGACATCGTCTCATGCCCCCTCCTTCAACAAACACATAAAAATTAATATACATGCATCAATCAAGACGATTAAAACACGAGGGTTTATAAGTGCATCGATGCAGCCGGAAGTTCTGTTCTGTTCCGACAAGATCGCGGGTCCCTTCAGGACAACTCAACCTTTGCTCTCTTCAAGAGAAATAGATAGAAATACAAAAAGCGTGGATTCTGAATTTTTTTTATTTTCAATAAATAATACGATTTAAATTGTGTAAAAAAATGGATTTCGGGTGAATAGTAAAATCGTGTGTGGAAAATATCGAGTTGACAGAGAATTTTGGATTACGTCAAGAGCTGCAAGGAAAATGGATGAGTAAAAAAAAATTTGTTATTCATGTTCAATAGGAAAATTATGTTTGAGCATGAAATTTTGATAATTCTGCGCTGATAGCGATTAGATTTTCGAATGAAACGATTTTAAAGTCAATTCTATGAAAATTTTGGTGTCAATAATTTTAATAAATTTGAGTTTATTAAAAAAAAATTTCTTCTCGTATACCCTTTCGGGTCTTTACGATTTGTGCCCTTCCCACCCCCTCAACCCCCTGTACCGCATTTGCCGAAGGGAGGGAAAACCTCATTCCAGGGAAAAACCTGCTCTGGTACAGTCGTCCTTTTTACGGGACTACCGCTCGGCAGTGAAACTGTGAGATTAGAGCGCTATAAATTTTGACCGCCGGTGCCGGGAAGCGAACCCGGATCATTGGCATATGAGTCTAGCACTCTAACCGCACGGCCACTACCGTCGGTTAATTTGAGTTTATTATATTTCGGTTATCTTTCTAGTTTCATTTCAACAATTCGCCCGACTCCAATCCCAAGCTATTGTCCTTACGGATAGGCTTAAATAGGAGAATTAAATTGTCATGGTTCAGCGTTTATTTGATTGATTAATATTGAATATTTACTGCGAAATCATGGCGTAACAGTATTTTTCCGCCACCGTTGGATCTCTTATTTCCCTCTGATGCCACCCCTTCCCCCTCGCCGACCAACTTCGAAATTCCTCCACCTAACGAGGAATTGCCCATACGTTGTATTTGTTCCTAATAGTTAATTGGTTTTAATACAAAACCTTGTATCTAGTCGCTTGCGATTCACACCGCTAGACACGACTAACTTCTCCCCTTATTTATTTTCTCAAGCATTTTAGAATCGTCCCCGTTTAGCGTGTACAACCGTACCCTGCCCTTACCCACTCCCTAGTCCATTGTTAAAAGGCATTTAACTTAATTGTCAGAGCTAGTGTAATAACTTTGAGTTGAGAATATATTTGACGATTTGTTGGTTACAGTTATAATCAGTGTCCCATTAATGCGATTAACTTAATCCTTGATTTCAGGTCTTCATTAGATTAAAATAATACCCCCCCGTGAACAACAATCTCAATAACAGGTCATTATATTATTATTATAATATTTTAACGAAGATCCCAGGTTACAATTTATTTATTCATCTTCGAAAGACTGCTGTCTCAAATTATTTCCAGGTGATCAGTAATATGTTTAGAAAGAAGACAAAAAAAGATGTTCCCATAAAAAGAACCTATCAGTGAACATTGTGTTCGGCTGCTTCTGACGGGAAATAAATGCATCCCTTAAAAGGATACAAGCTTCATTAAAATCGAAGAAAAAATTGTGTAGAAGAAAGAAACTAAGTCTGAAAATTCAGAGGAAAAAATTAAAAAACCCATAGAAATAGGGAGTCTGGAGTAGAACTGTTTATTTACCTTATAATTGTCAATTAAAAAGGTGCTGAGAAACAATTATCGTGTGCTTTGCTATTTATTTTTATAATACTATTGCATATACCTTCAAAACGTCTGCATGCAAGTAACGAAATTTATTTAATTTTTAAATATCCTTGAACTTGGACCGGATTATTTATTGGTTATTATTGATTGTTGTATTGTTTGAATAACAATTTTCGTTAATTGAATGGCATGATATGGCTGTTCTTCATATGAAATTACAAATCATGGAAATATATTGATGTTTCTGATGTCTTGTAGTTGTTCGGAAAAGTGTTTCTACGTATTGCATATCTGTCTCGTGGTACTAGCAATACAATAGGGTATATGTTACAGGATATATGAATCGTCTTCTCATGGAAATGTCGATGTACATACATTGCTAGAAGATTCGATTTCAGAATGTTGATAGGAAAGATCTAGAAATTCAAAATATAATTGTTTGTTTAATGAAACACTTTTCAGTAGAATCTTTATATAAAAAACCTGGTTCAGATCCCCTGTTATGCCTGTTTTGTCACAATGTCGTCGAGAATATTAATCTTTTCCGAAATCAACGCAAACGGCCGGCTGATCAATTCTGTACAAAGACTCAGCTACGCCGAAATAGCCTAGGTATTCGGCAATGTCCGGAGTCGTATCGATGTGGTAATGACCACCTTCGCCATGATGACTGAAGCTGTGAAAATGCTGAACCCGGAGATCAAGGTCGGTTTGTGCAGAAACGAAAGTGCCCACTGCCACCAGGGGAGCGGACATTTCGTAAAATTTCAGCCAGTTATTGAGGGCGTTTTCAGTTGTTAGGGGGGCCGTTGAAAAATCTCGCATCACATGTTGGCGAACTTTTCCTTGTTTGAAGAGGAAAGTGCCACCCAGACCTGGAATGAAAGGTTTCGATAAGAGTCTCTCTCTCTCTCTGTATATATATATATATATATATATATATATATACACCTGTAATAATAAGAATAATAATGATAATAATAATAATAAAATGTTATAGTTATAAAACTGAAAAATCAATTATTTGAAATAATAATTATTCTTTTCAATAAAATATAATGATAGTTTTATTTGAGAGTAAATCTAAATATCTCTCTAAATTTTAATTCCATTCGAATTTATTTAATGCCTAAAGGTGGTTAGGCGGCGTGCTGAATTGAATTTGGAGTGAGAATTTCCGTGGTTCCCGGTAGCTTAGTCGGTAAGAGTCCCCGGTGCGTAACTGGGAGACCCGGGTTGGAATCCCGGCTGGGTGAATCGGAATTTTTTCTCTCTAAATTTTAATTCTATTTGAATCTATTTTTCTTTAAACGAGCTCTCTCTCTCTCTCTCTCTCGCTCTCTCTCTCTCTCTCTCGCTCTCTCTCTCGCTCTCTCTCTCGCTCTCTCTCTCGCTCTCTCTCTCGCTCTCTCTCTCGCTCTCTCTCTCGCTCTCTCTCTCGCTCTCTCTCTCGCTCTCTCTCTCGCTCTCTCTCTCGCTCTCTCTCTCGCTCTCTCTCTCGCTCTCTCTCTCGCTCTCTCTCTCGCTCTCTTTCTCTCTCTCTTCTACCCCGTCCAATGACTCGACTTATTCCTCTCTCCCTCCTTTCCTCCCTCCAATCCTGACTCCTTTCCTCCCCTTCTTACCACTAATTATATATTATTATTAATCTGTTTTTTTTTTGTTTCAGAGAGGAGAACGGTGGGCAGGTGGACTCGGGCCCTTTACCACCAGAGCTCGGTGGGTCCGGGCTCTCCGGCGCGAGGCCCGGCGGTGGGAGGCCGAAAGCGTGCAGGCTGACGCCCTGTACGATGTGGAGGACACGTGGGATCTCTGGATCCTCTTCGGGGACGCCTCTCATCACCCCGATTCCACCGCCGATAACTGGGACCTGGAGGAGTGGGAGTGAGCCCCCCCCCCGTCGCGGCGAAAAAAACAAATGTAATCCAGTCACATTAAGTTTTAAATCTAAAAAGAAATGTATTTTTTAGATTTAGTTCTTTTGAATAAAAAAAATGTAATCTATATTTCTCCTTTTTTATTTAAAAAAAGAAACCTCAACAATTTTTCTTCTCTCTGAAATAAGTATTTCGGAAAAAACAAGAAAGTTCACGTTTTTTGTTTCATTCTGAAAAAATTTATTTTTAAAAAATTACATTAAAAAAAAACTTACATTCAACATTCAAAACTTGAATATAAAAAAATCTTGAATTTATATAAACTTACATCTAAAAAAAAGTCTTGAATTTATAACAACTTATATCTACGAAAAAAAAATTACATCTCGTGTTGGAAACTTACCTCTAGTTTACAGCTACAAAGTAATTAATTTAATTCTTAATCTAATCCCTACACAGTAGTTTTAAAAATCAAAAGTATTTTTCATTCGTTTTAGTTTTTCAATAGTCGAGTTAAATCGCGATGCGTTTTTTTTTATATCTGTAGGAAAGGGTTGAAGCGCCCATCATGCCTTCGTTTTGGGCCCGTCACGCGTATACTCTTGCTCTCCGGTTTCGTGATGACGTCATGGTTACATCGTCCGTCGTATGCACTTGTAGTTGATCTGGTAAGGTTCTACCTTATCAATGACGAGGGCGCGAATCGAGTCGTAATATGTCTGTTTACTCATATCGTAATTTAGCCGAACCCCTTCAATTTTACTGACTTCTCCGATGGTTCCATCTGGTTTCTTGACACAATAAGTATAAAATTTTGGACCGCCAGAGACAAAAGACGTAATGAAACTCCCGTCTCCGTCGCCCTCTACTTCATTGTTCAAGTCCCCCAGAACATTCCCCAGTGGTAATTCCTGCGCTTCATCGCTCACGTAAATAACCGAGTCTGCATCATAATACAAAACGCGCTCTTGCTGATTTTCTAAATAAGAATATAATTTGAGATGTGCTTGAGCTGTCGTATAAGCCGCAATAACAACATTGGCTTTGGTAGACAGTTCCGCAGCTTCGTTTAAATGTTCCCAGGACATGAAGAGAGTCTCATGATCGACAGGAACAAGCCTTGTCACTTCGATTTCAGGATTGAACATTATGTTGGCAAACTCCTCCTATGTTCGAATAATTGCCTTTTTCGTTAAATTTTCGCTCTCCCCAAATTTATCGCAGAGACAGTCTAAACAAAGTTTTGCTACTGCTCTCAGCCCAGCATTCTTTTGAATTTTATCTTTGTCCAGTTTTATACCTTCTCTCGGCTCATATTCAGCTATATATCTATCCTTTGTTTCATCATCTACACACTCAGCTGACCAATCAGAAGCCTCTTGTTTGATTTTTAAGAAAGTGTTCATTTATTCGGCTAATGAACCTCCTCTTTGACTCACAGGGTCATAACGCGTTGTTTTTTCATACTCCCAAATTTCACTAATTTCCAAATTTTATATCCCACCTCTACTGCTTTACGAAGCTCTGGGGCGACCCAAGTCCCCAAAAACCCGCGGTCAGTGGGATCATCATGAGGGCAATTGTCTTACACTAGACCTTCGCAGCATGACCGCCAGAGAGGGAACTGTAGCTTACCGTGTGCTTTGACAGGTAAAACCGGGTGAAATAATCGTCGCGGGGATAAAATGCGACATTTCACAGGTCCCTCTATCTACGAAATATCGTTATTAGGGCATACGAGCTGACAATCGGCACCTACATGCACAGTGGGGTGCCCGATAGGAAAAATCCCCTTCTTTAAAACATATGGATATAATGAACAAACGTCGACATATTGAATTTTTTCATTCTCGTTAACATCATAGTGTGTTACGCTATTTCCCGTGCGGCCGCCGAAAAAAGCACCGCGCGGAACTAAGGCAATAAACATTTGCTGATCGATGTTTTCAACTAAGTTTGACAACTTGAGATCTGTCTTTTTTTGACGAATAATATCCCATTCCCACATTTCAATGACTTCGTAACCCAAGTTTCGCGATTTCCGGGTAATTGCACCTGTTCTCTCATATCGACTATCTAATGTATCCTTATCGCTCAACTGTTTATCTCCATTAAACTTGAAACACCGTGGAAAAGCGTGCCAATAACACCCGTGAAACTGATACGCATATTTTTTATTATTTCCAACATCTTCCCAATAACCATCTAACCGATGCCCTGATTCCGTTCTGTGTTCTTGAGTCCGCCCTGCGTATATTATTCGATGATTCTCTCAATGCTCGCGCCATAGGAGCCATTCAATTGCTATTTTTGACTGTATTTTTCCTAAACGATATCCTCCCTGAAAAGTAATGCCTACCTGTTTTTCTTTCAAGAAATTTGTTTGAAAAATGCGCATACAAGTCGGAGCAATCGTTACACACTCTGTAAAACGGCAAACATTTTCAGCGTTCATAATTAATTTACAAAACTCCACACACCCTCGTTTCAATATTGTAATATCAAGTCTACAACAATGAACAATTTCTTCACGAAAGTCGAACTCGTGGTTTTCTTCTATTTGTTCATTCTACCAAGCTAAGGATTTTTCTCGATCTTGCACATTCATCGTATTTGCACCATAATATTTCTCATCGGGTATAGACCCTACGTAGTCCTGATTCTCTTTTTTATTGACAAAATGTGGAAAATAACCTTTTGCAATATCCCCCAATCCAAAAGTCTTCGGCAAACTGGCTAGAGCCATGTGAAAATAATTTAATCTATCTATAAATTTATTATCCCCGAAGTCTACTCAAATAATGTCATGACATCTCTCAAAATAAATTGAGAGTCATAATCTTTTGCGTTGTGAGCAATACCAACTATTTTGTTGTACGTTTTACCCATCGATGTGATGTAATTTACCAATCCGCGTACAGGGTCCTCCCCATCAAACACATTTTCCCGAGGTTTACACACACTGCACGGGCTTGGAAGATTTTCCTTAATCTTCGCAATGTCGTCATCGTTCAGGCCCAAGAGAAATGAAGCGAGATGGTATGTGAGCGAGAGGGCACTAACCACTTCCGCCTTTCTCATCACTTCCAGCTCTACCCTCAGACGTTGTACATCTTTCGATTTCTAAAATTTGTGTGGGTCTAATTATTCGTCAGAAATTGAACGTGTGGAAATATACGGGGGATTTGGGAGAAAAAAGGCCATCTGGGCGAATCTGCGGCGATACTCTGGCGAATTAGAGACTTTTCTCGGTGAAAAAACCAGGCGAATTATCCAGGCGGTATTCAACGGGCGAGCACGTGGCGAACCACTCCGGACGACGACATCGTAAGCCCGTGGGAATATTAAACGTGAGTGTGCACATGTCAATAAGTGATTTCTGGTGCGACGTTAATATTTGTGAGAAAAATGGGCAAGTTGGGTGTACTAAGCGATAAGTCAGAAACTCATATTAGGAAAAAGTGACCGGCAGTTATTAAGGATTTTTGTGAGGTAATTATAATTTGGATGTATTACTTTATTTTCTTCTCTTATTTCATCATTGTTCTCCGGGGGCGCGAGTGAGAGAGAAATATATCTCGGCTAGTGTCGCGGGTAAGAGACCTCGGAAAGCCCACGTGGTGTCTCCGGACCTGCATTGTGTACATTTTCCGTCTGTAAATGAATAAAATAATAACCGAGTCTCTCCATTGTTCTCCGGAAAGCAAATTACTCATTAATTTTGTGTAATAATCATTTTTGTATTCTGTCGAGTCTGGCGGAACGGAATTCTCCGAAAAGTATTATTTTGGTTTTTCTTATTTTGCATTCACTTTTCTGTCAGGGTTCTGGTATTGAACAATAGTATTATTTCGTTTTCATTACTGTTATTTTAGTTGTCAGTTTGGGTGACGACCCGCTTTTTTTGGATTTATATTAATTTTCAACACTCACTTCATATCAGTTTTAGAATATAGGATTCTTTGGTTATTAGAATCGCTTCCTCTATTTATTTTTGC